TGACTTTGAACTCAGGAAATTGAATTCCAAAGACAGCACACTTCACCACCATACTACATCGCCTCTCGTTAATTGGCTGTGATAATTATTAAAAAATCATCAAAACAAATGTGAAAACATGCTTCAAAGTGATAGTACGGTGACTCAACCAAAGACTCAAGGAGGAAAAAATACTTCATGTATATAGGAACAATCTAAAATAGACGCTAGCTTATAAAACTGCAGTTTGGACCTTAGGTTCTCTTTCCCTCCCTCTTTCTCTCTCTGTCTCTCTCTTATTGATTTTTTTCCCCATAATTTGACCTTGCTCTGAACGACTGTACTAACTGGTCTTGATTATGCCCAAATGCCAAAGTGCCACTGTTGTATAAGTCAATTAACTCTATCACATTCCTTTTTTTTTTAGAGTTTAATTCTCTATTTACTTCATTAAAATAATTTGTTAGTAAGACATATCACTCATTTGACTTAAAAACATTTAAAGGCAAAATACCATATAACTGAAAAAAAAAACTACAACTAAATTACATGACAGACGAATCTCATAAATATAATATTTAGCAAAAGAAGCCAGATGTAAAGAGGACATAGTGTATGATTCAATTTATACAAAGTACAAAAACAGGCAAACTGACCTATGTTGTTAGCATTCAAGGCAGTTGTTACCCTCAGAATGGAGCACAAGAAGTGTTTCTCGTTCTGATACTATTCTGTTTCTTGATCTGGCTGATGATTACATAAATGTTTCATTTGGAGAAATTCACTGAGCTTTACACTTATGTTTTATGTATTTTTACACTATATATGTTATATTTCAATCAAAACTTTACATGAAAAGGCAGTGCTTTATCCAAAACAGTTGCTTTGCTAATTGTAATTTAGTACTACTTTCTCTCTTCCAAAAGATACAATTAACTTGTTTCATAAAGAAAGCTAACAATATTTCCACATAACATTGTAAAGTTACTATTTTCCTAAATATGAGATGTTTTAAAAGTCAAATTTATTGAGGTATAATTTATATACAGTACAATTCATTTTTTTAAACTGAATGACCATTTTTGACAAGCCCATACATTTGTGCAACCGTCACCACTATCAAGATACAGAACAGTTCCTTCATCTCCTCAAATTTCCTTATGACCTTTTGTTGTCCAACTCATCTCCCACCTCCCAGTTCCTGGCAATACTGATCGACTTCTGTCTCCATAGTTCTTCCTTTCCAAGAATGCCTTATAAATGGAATCCTATACTATGTATTCTTTTAAGTCTAGCGTCTTTCATTTAGCTTAATGTTTTTATTTTTTAATAGACCTTTATTGGAGTATAATTGCTTCATAACATTGTGTTAGTTAATGTTGCATAACAAAGTGAATCAGCCATATGCATACACATGTCCCCATATTGCTTCCCTCTTGAGCCTCCCTCCCACCCTCCCTATCCCACCCCTCTAGGTTGTGGCAAAGCACCAAGCTGATCTCCTGTGCCATGCTGCTGCTTCCCACTAGCTAAATATTTTACATGGTAGTGTATATATGTCCCTGCTACTCTCACTTCGCCCCAGCTTTGCCCTCCCACCCCATGTCCTCAAGTCCATTTTCTATGTCTACCTCTTTATTCCTGCCCTGAAACTAGGTTCATCAGTACCATTTTTTTTTTTTTTAGATTCCATACATATGTGTTAGCACACAGTACTTGTTTTTCTCTTTCTGACTTACTTCACTCTGTATGACAGACTCTAGGTCCATCCACCTCACTACAAATAACTCAATTTCATTTCTTTTTATGGCTGAGTAATATTCCATTGTATATATGTGCCACATCTTCTTTATCCATTCATCTGTCGATGGACATTTAGGCTGGTACCATGTCCTGGCTATTGTAAATAGTGCTGCAATGAACATTGTGGTACATGTCTCTTTTTGAATTATGGTTTTCTTAGGATATATGTCCAGTAGTGGGATTGCTGGGTCATATGGTAGTTCTATTTTTAGTTTTTTAAGGACCTCCATACTTTTTCCCATAGTGGTTGTATCAATTTACATTCCCACTTATTTTTATATTCTTCCTAACCTATCTGTTAGTTTCCTAGTCTAATTTTATTTTTTACTTTGTTACTGCTTTTTGTTTTTTTTTCTTTTGCTGCCTCAGGCAGCTTGTGGGATATTGGTTCACGAGCCCGGGGTCAGGCCGAAGTTCCTGCACTGGAAGCTCCGAGTCTGAACGACTGGCCTCACAGAGAACCTCAGACCCCAGGGAATATTCATCGGAGTGAGGTCTCATGGATTTACTCATCTCAGCACCAAGACCCAGCTCTACCCAATAGCCTACAAACCCCAGTGTTGGAAGCCTCAGGCCAAACAACCAGTAAGACAGGAACACAATCTCACTCATTCAAAAAAACAAAAAAATGAGATGGCAAAAAAATATGTCACAGATGAAGGAGCAAGGTAAAAACCTACAAGACCAAATAAATGAAGAGGAAATAGGCAGTCTACCTGAAAAAGAATTCAGAGTAATGATAGTAAAGAAGACCCAGAATCTTGGAAATGGAATGGAGGCATGGACTGAGAAAATACAAGAAATGTTTAACAAAAATCTAGATGAACTACAGAACAAACAAACAGAGATGAACAACACAATAACGGAAATGAAAAATACACTAGAAGGAATCAGTAACAGAATAACTGAGGCAGAAGAACTAATAAGTGAGCTGGAAGACAAAATGGTGGAAATAACTGCCAAGGAGCAGAATAAAGAAAAAGGAATGAAAAGAATTGAGGACAGTCTCAGAGACCTCTGGGACAACACTAAATGCACCAACATTTGAATTATAGGGGTCCCAGAAGAAGAAGAGAAAAAGAAAGGGTCTGAGAAAATAGTTGAAGAGATTATAGTGGAAAATTTCCCTAACATGGGAAAGGAAATAGTCACCCAAGTCCAGGAAGCACAGAGAGTCCCATACAGATAAACTCTAGGAAAAACACACCAAGACACATATTAATCAAACTAACAAAAATTAAATTCAAAGAAAAAATATTAAAAGCAGCGAGGGAAAAACAAAATATAACATACAAAGGAATCCCCATAAGGTTATCAGCTGATTTTTCAGCAGAAACTCTGCAAGCCAGAAGGGAGTGGCAGGATATAATTAAAGTGATGAAAGGGAAAAACCTACAACCAAGATTACTCTAACCAGCAAGGATCTCATTCAGATTCGATGAAGAAGTCATCAGACAAGCAAAAGATAAGAGAATTTAGCACCACCAAACCAGCTTTACAACAAATGCTAAAGAAACTTCTCTAGGTAGGAAACACAAGAGAAGAAAAAGACCCACAAAAACAAACCCAGAACAATTAAGAAAATGGTAAGAGGGACATGCATATCAATAATAACCTTAAATATAAATGGATTAAATGCCCCAACCAAAAGACACAGACCGGCTGAATGGATACAAAAACAAGACCCATATATATGCTGTCTACAAGAGACCCACTTCACACCTAGGGACACATACAGACTGAAAGTGAGGGGATGGAAAAAAGATATTCCATGCAAATGGAAATCAGAAGAAAGCTGGAGTAGCAATACTTGTATCAGGTAAAATGGACTTTAAAATAAAGACTGTTACAAGAGATAAGGAGGGACACTACATAATGATCAAAGGATCAATCCAAGAAGAAGATATAACAATTATAAATGCTTATGAACCCAACATAGGAGCATCTCAATACATAAGGCAAATGCTAACAACCATGAAAGGAGAAATCGACAGTAACACAATAATAGTAGGGGACTTTAATACACCACTTATACCAATGGACAGATCATCCAAACAGAAAATTAATAAGGAAACACAAGCTTTAAATGACACAATAGACCAGATAGATCTAATTGATATTTATAGAACATTCCACCCAAAAGTGGCAGAATACACTTTCTTCTCAAGTGCACATGGAACATTCTCCAGGATAGATCACATCTGGGGTCACAAATCAAGACTCAGTAAATTTAAGAAAATTGATATTGTATCAAGCATCTTTTCTGCCCACAACGCTATGAGATTGGAAACCAATTACAGGAAAAAAACTGTAAAAAACACAAATACATGGAAGCTAAATAGTGTGCTACGAAATAACCAAGAGATCACTGAAGAAATCAAAGAAGAAATAAAAAAATACACAGAAACAAATGACAATGAAAATACGATGGCTCAAAACCTATGGGACACAGCAAAAGCATTTCTAAGAGGGACGTTTATAGCAATACAATCTTACATCAAGAAACAAGAAAAATCTCAAATAAACAATCTAACACTACACTTAGCTTAATGTTTTTGAGATCCATCCATGTTTTGTGTAAGTCAGCAGTTTGTTCCTTTCTGTTGCTGAGTAATGTTACAATGTATAGATATACCACAGTTAAAAAACATTTGAGTAATTTCCAGGTTCTGGTGATTTTGAATAAAACCACTACAAACATTTATGTATAGGTTTTTGTATAAACATTAGTGAAATATTTTGTTTTTTAATTCTAACTTGTAATTTCACCTGCACAAAATATTTTCTACACTGCCTTTAGCCTAGAGTAATTCTTATGCCTAGGGAATATACCAACCAGTTCAAAATAACATAAAATCAGAAATTGAATCAAGTAACAAGCACCTGCAAATTCTGCAAATTACACTCTTAAAAATATTTTTTGCAGTCATCTACATAATTAAGAACATAAATACTATTAAAGCTTTAGATTAATATTTAAAATATGTTTAAATTTTACAAAATTAAAAATCAATGATATTACTAATTTGGATTCTACAATCATAATGAAAAAGGAAGAAGAGGTAAGAAATGTGGCTTGAAAAGTAAAGGGTTACATGCCTCTTTCACAACTCCCTGATTTAACGTATTATAAATTTCACCCAACTGGTTAGTACTTTTTTATCCATGATAACTGGGAAAGGATTTGAGTGACAAAATGGAAACATGGTAGATGTTACCTAGCATGTTGTGGTAAAGTGGAATGGCCCGTCCAAAGGTAGTAAATGCAGTCATGACTAGTAGGACCGCTACACCTGCAGGCAATTACAGAACAGAAAACATCATTCTCCATTCACAGTGGCATGCACACACATGCACCAGCGCTCACACATGGAGCCTTGGAGGAAGAACATGGGAAGCAAGCACACCAAGTACCTATCCATCAGGCCGATGCAGTCTTCAATACTTGAGCCTATGCACCTGCAGAAGATCCAAATTTTAAAAATACAAGGAAAGAAAAATTAGTCATTTTTAAAAAGAAGATATAAGACAAATACCGATGGTGTCAAACTCTTAATTATTGTTAATAGACAATTTTTGAATATCATGAATTTAAAGCTAGTGAGAAGGTTATGTACTTGATGGATACCCAGAAATAAATTGTAAATACTACACAAATGGAATGCAAAGAAACAAGTCCACAGTAAAGGAAACTGTACTCTGTTTCTGTGGATAATTTCCAAGCACATATTGCTCATTTCTAATACTTTACATTCATTTGAATCATTGGTGATATTACGTCTTGATGAATAACTTGATATTTCAATGGCTATAATTGGTTTCATGTATACAGTTTCTTCTAAAAGGCTTTAAGCTGAAGTAAAAAACAGAATCAATAAAAAAGAAAACATGAGCTATTCAATATAATATAATAAACTGATGCTTAATACTCATTATTAAAGATTGATTTTAGCAGAAAATGAGTTAATGTGCTTTAACGTTATTCTCGTGGATACTTTACACAATCACATTATTCCATTCCTTGGTTGTGACTGTCTTTAAAACATACTTATCTTTAAACATGAATTCATTTAACAAGCAAATTAACTGGTTTCACCATACTGCAGTTTATCTTGGTACTTGCTTTTAAAAAAGCAGTGCCATAACAGTCAAGTGAAAACAGGTTTTTAAACTGCCATAATATCTAACTCAAACAATAAAAAATAAGTAAATACTCCCCAAGGAAATGAATAACTTGAGACTCAGGTAAGTAAAGAATCCACAGAGGTTAACATTTAAGTAAAATTATATAAGTACACAGAATTCTGATTTTGAAGTATTATAGAAATATTTCTTCCATCTACCAATAAATTTGAATTGTATTTCTTTCCCTTTTCTCTCATTAAACACATATAGCTGCAGTGCAGTATCAAGATTCCTTGTACAGCTATGATTTATTGAACAGTCTAATTCTTCTGGTAATATTTTTTCCAAATTCTAATTTCTAAAACTGAAAAAGAAGTTGAAGTTAAAATCATTATGTAATGAAGTAATAAGGTGCTCTTGTATAAGGCCAGACTGTCCATTATATCTTTAGAAAACTCTGTAACACGTAAATAAATATAACTATGTATAATACTAATTAAGTCACTATTTTCCTCCTTCATCAGTATCAGTTATAATATTCCTACTAGGTGGAAAATTATTTTTCTTTTGAGGATTGGCTTTGAGTGGCTTAGAAAAATATTAATGTACAGAAATACATGAAATACACTGTGAAAAAGGCTTTTAAAAAAAGCAAATAAGAAATTTAAATAAAAATATAGAGCACATAGCATTGAATTGGTTCCAAAATTCATAATCAAAACCATTTCTAAAAATAAAAAACAATTAGTATAAAAGTTTGCAAATTGTCTTACATGGTTTTCTTCTATTCCAAAGGACTTATTTTTTTCTAGTTTCCAGTTATACCTTCTTCAAAATGCTTTCTTAAAATACAGTAGTGCCATTTTTGTAAAATTAATAGTCTACTTCTTACTTCCAAATGATAATCTGAAAGCTATGGTTAGTTTGTAATCTGTATTTATTATAACCTTTGTAAGATAAATGTATTTGAAAGTAAGCTTTAACTTGAGGGGAAAGTTAAAGAGTGAATAATGAAAGATCTTCATTCATCCATTAAAAAAAAAAAACTCCGTCACATGCCTACTAAGTGTTCCTACTATTCTAGGAGCTGGGGGGAGAAAAAAGATGAATTAGACATTTTCCTATTTTTAATGAGCTCAAACTTTAATGAAGGAGACAGATGCATAAACATATGTGTATTGTACAATATGATAAATATAATGAGGAACACGAACCAGTGACTTAGGAGAGCGTGGAGGAGGGACACAGAGTTTCAGAAGGTTGGGGTCACACCCTCGGAGAAGTTAGAAAACTGAAGTTCAGAGTTCAGAGTCCTGATAACCAGGGTTGGGGTGGCAATAATTTCTAAGGGGTAAGAAACAGCAGGAGCAAAAGCATCGATCTGAGGAAGGGTAGAGAGTATACGAACAGCTACAAATAATTCTGAATAGTTAGAGAACAACATATGAGGCAACAGGGAGAAGGAAAAAAAGAAGCTAGATCACTAGAAAGGAACCAGAACTGAAGACTGTCTGCTTAGGAACAAACAATGGGAAACCACTGCAGGGTTTTAAAGAAGTTGTGAAATTGCTAGATGTGTGTTATACATTGATCTCTTTGCCCACTGAAGGCTAGTCAGCTGGGAGCCAGACAGATTCCTTTGGCACAGAGACTGTTTTAGTCTCTGTAAGAGATGATGAAGGATTAAACTAGGGAAACAGTAATTAGGATAGAGGCAGAGTTGGATTTAAGGAATACCTTGAAACGTATGCGGGAAAAAAAAAAACAAAAAAACAGTAGTTGGTGGCTGATTTGATGATGGAAGAGGAAAGATCAGAGGAGTTAAAGATGACTCATACTGAGAATAGTGGTACCATCAGTGAGAGAATGCAAGAGGAGGAATACCTTCCTCTGTGTGTGTGTGTGTTCCGGAAGCAGGCTTGATAGTTTCAGTCTTAGGTATCTAAAGTTTAGTGTGGTTTTCCTACATCTAGGTAGAAATGTTCCTCAGCATCTGGAAAGATGAGTCTGGTGGAGGGGACGGTGTGGGGGGAGGAGAGGGAAGCAGGAGGCACAGGTACAATGATCCAGTTTTGAAACATCATACAGGAGAAGGCTGAAATCATGTAAGTGGATGTGATGGCTGAAGAAGGATCTATAAAGTGAGAAAAGCAGAGACTGAGACTGAAACTCCAATAATTAGTAAATGACATAAGATGAGCTCATAAGCCAGAAACATAGGAAAATATGTTTGAGTAAAATCAATTAATTGCAGTGTCATGGAAGCCAAATCATGAAAAAACTTCAGGAAATGGATGATCATCAATCGTTGTCAAGTGCAAGAGAGGTCTATTCAAAGAACTACTAAGAGTATGTTAGTTGTCATAGTCAAGATCACTAGAATTTAGGTTGCTGTGAGTTGAGAAGCAAATTGCAAATAAGAGAATAGAAGCAAGGGAAAAGGGAAGAGCTACTGAGGGGGTGGGGTGTGAGGTCAAGAAAGTTTGTCTAGGAGATTTTGTAGGATATTTGAGATTTAAAGGTATTTATAAGTTGAGGATAAAACAAGAATGGAAGACAGAATAAGAGTGTGGTCCCATTTTTTGTAAATACAAATCACTGTGTATTTAAAGATGTATATTCTATTTCAACTCTTTGTACTTGACATAAGCAAATAATTAGCACATGCAATTTATGTAGATTCAGGAAAATCAAAGAATAATGGAAACATTAAACTTTTGAAGAGTCAAAATCCTAAATAAGAGACTGAATAAAGATGTGAAATAATACAAGTCTCTAGATAATTAGTGTTCTAAAGTAGAAACTTTACAGAAAGTTCAGAAAGAGAAACTGTAACATGTTAATATAATATATTAAAAAAACTGGAATTCCAAATATTGAGCTGTGTTTAACATTTGCTTGTACTTACTGATTTATGAACACCTTGATATACCCATACAAGTAACATAGTTGAGATATTTTGACAAAATCTTCTCTGAATTTTGAAATTAAAATGGAAAAATATTTTAAAATTTCATTACAGAAGTTATCGACAATAATTCCACAAGCAGCCCTTCTTTTGTTCTCTCCAGCAATGGAAATTCTTTCATTACATACAGTTAAAAATATAAAAAGAATTGATAAGAAAAATATTAAGGCATATAGAAAATTTAATAGTATCAAATCATGATTCTAATATTACTAAAAACTTTTAATGAATTTTTTAAAGATGCCCTATTAAAAATAAATATCCCAGGGCTTCCCTGGTGACGCAGTGGTTGAGAGTCCGCCTGCTGATGCAGGGGACACGGGTTCGTGCCCCGGTCCGGGAGGATCCCACATGCCGTGGAGCAGCTGGGCCCATGAGCCACGGCCACTGGGCCTGTGCGTCCGGAGCCTGTGCTCCGCAACGGGAGAGGCCACAGCAGTGAGAGGCCTGCTTACCGCAAAGAAGAAAAAAAAAAAAAAATCCCAGTTCACGTCTCCAAACAAAAATTAAATTGACATTCGTCATGGACGTAAGTGATATTAGTAAAGAAACTATGATCTTTGCCCTTACGACTACTCAACTGTACACTAAATTTAGTTTACATGTCCTCTTTTAAAATTTCTACCTTGCTAATTTCAAATATGAATATCATTTCTAAGTTTTAAATTCTTGCTAATCATTTCAAAATACAGGGGGATCTCTGATGAAAGGATATAAATTGTAAGAATAAAAATTCACTGGACTGTGACTTCCTAGTGATCAAGAGCTGTGTTTTGCTTATTTCTGAACTTAGCTATCACTGTATCTGATACACAACAGGTGTTCAATATAACAAAGTTGAAGAATGAATGAAATGAGAAAGGCTGCTAAAATAAAAGTTCTCTAGTCAAGGCAAGAAGAGACAATGTTATTTTTTTTTCCTCTAGGAATATTAGTGAGACTCTCCTGATAGGTACTAGCTAAATGGATCACCTATTTTAAAAACATCTAAAGAACTTATTAGAGTCAATACATCTAATGTACTTTTAGAGTGGTAAAAGGGCTTTTAAGGTATTACATGATAATTTTACTTTCAGATGATCATTAAACAGTATTCAAAGTAAGAACTTCCTTCTGAAAAATGATTTGAAAGACTATTTCCATTAACTTGGTTCTTGAATTATCCAGCTGACATAATATTGGCATATAAAAGAAAAGCTGTTTTCCAATGGAGTTGGCATGGTGAGCTCACGCTTACTGATAGGTCATTTATTATGTATGTTTAGGAATAAAAATAGTCACTTGTCCCATCATGCCTACTGCCCCTATGATCTTCCTAGGGAAAGATTCTATCTCTACATGCTCAATTTGAAAGGAAGGGACTGAATGCATAGAGCACCTCATTGCTTCATTGAAAGAATCTCAAAGCACAGTGTTGCACTGCAGTAGTGTACAGAGGAGGGCTTAAGCATTTAGAAATGCCCAAATCCTAAATTCCATTCTGAGGCTGAGGCCACAGAACTCTTAGGAAGTGAGTGAACCTGGACAATGCGGACGCTGTTAGAAAAAGGATGGCAGGAAGATAAATGGAAACAAAGACAAGAAACTGACAGGATTAAGTCAGTCATTACAGAATCCATTTACCTTAGAAGATGCCAGGGAGTACACTAGTCAAATTCTGTCTCACCATCATTCTGCACCAGTGAATTTAAAGTCATCATTTTATTTACTAGGGTTCCCAAGTGATCTGGTCAGGTTTGTTTCCTGTTACACCTTCATCCTCCCTTTTGGTTGACATCCAACTTTTGTTACTGTGGTAAATTGATCTATTTGTTGTCCCTCCTTCTACTTTCCCCCCACTATATATCTTTTCTTTTATTATACAATCATGATTTAAAAGGACTGAGAGGAAGACACACCAGCCATACATCCAGACTATGTACAGCTCTGTGATCTCACTTTCATTTCCCTAATGGCTTTGTTGTAATTAGATTTGCAAAAACAGCAAAAGGTCTCATTTTGAATGGCAACAGCTGTTGACATCAACATTACATTGAATAATGTTTGTTTAATTTTAGATGCAAAACAATAAAACCCTCTTGTGGATGATTATTTTAGCAGGCAACGTTTTCCCTTTCTGTTGCTGACCCTTCTGCTCCAGCAATACTAGTATCTTCATGAAATACCCTTAACTGAAGTGTGCCCAAAACTCGCCAGGGGAGCAGCTTGTTCCTTCTAATTTCCTTGAAGCAGAGTGTCTATTTCAGTATCCTCAAACCAGTGAGGTGGCATTAGCTCTTCCAAGCTGCATTTGAATGGCAGCATATTACTTTACCTTTTGAGGATCTGCCACTTCACAGAGTGAATTAAGCTGATTTCTTGACCTGCAGGAAATTGTAGCAGCATCTGCAAATTGATGTCCTCCTGGCAGAAAATGATGTGGCTTGCTTAACTTCTTCAATATCCCCTAACAGCCAGCCCTTACTCTGGCAGAAAATCTCTTTATGGAATCTCATACTTTCCTGCCAGATCTAAAGCACCCAAGATGATTCTCCACAAGTGTCTCTGTGGGTTTGTATGTGTGTGTGCACATGTGTGTGGGCACTCACAAGGGAGAAGAGGTTTTTTGGACAGAAGGAGGACAGAGCATGTGAAACTGCCCTTGATTCTAAATTTATTCTCCTTCTACAGGAAAGAGAAGGAAAAGTCCTTATTAAAAGAGATTTGCTGTCTTTTAAAGAAATAGTTGTTGGGATTTGTTCAATGAAGTGACATTATTTCTTTTATAGTTCAGTGCTTTTCTTCTTTCTGTAATATGTCTTTGTTACTCAACTGTTATCAGTATCAAAAGTAGTCTAATTATTATTCATTTTACAATGCATCCTTTTGAAAAGTAGAAAAATGTGTACCCATCTTTGAATTGTCCTATATCGGTTGAAGAAACACTAGGTTGTAGGTTAACCTATAATAGAATCACCTTCACAAAATGTACTTGTATTTTTATTCAAATACATATCACTAGGTTCCTTTTTTTTTTCTTTTTTTTTTTTACCATCACTGCTTTTGCTTATATTTTGTTGAAGGAGTAATACAAGGCAGCATTTATCAAAAAGAGACCTTCACTTTAAGGTGATTGTAACAACAAAGAAACAGAAAATCTCTGTTAAAGATTTATTAAGCGTGAATCTCAAAAGTACAATTACTTGTCTTTTCTGATATCTTTAATCCTCAGTAAAATTTGGAAGAATTTCTACACTCCATACAAAGTATACCTGATACCAGCTTCATGAAGGTGTCAATAGAAGTTACAGGAAAATGTTCAACAGAACTATTTTAGAGGGTATAAATTCGATTCCATAAAGCATTCTTATAGAAAGGAGTTCTCTTAAAATCAACACATTATATAAACACGAATAGAATTTTGCATAAGAATATTATGTATTCAGTAGACTGTGTCAGGGATAAAATGCATGTATGCACCTCTTGATTAGTAATACACACATGATTAAGCTTTGGACCAGTAAAGTTGCTTACCCTTGGGTGCAGTTTGGATGGCATGGGTGGCACTCCCGATCCTGATCAGCATACTTGAAAATGAAACTGTTTGCCCCCTGTAAGCCATCTGGACATTTTTCCACACAGTTCGGGCCATCCTTAAAATGGGAGCACTTTGTACAGTTGTCAGGTCCCTGAAGTGTGAAAAAAAAAAATAGAGGAAGAAAAATGGGTGCCATTTCCTCTGGAATGTATTTATCTGGTTTAGTTACTGAGACTTCAGTGGGTGGCCAATCTTCCTCTCGAGAACTGAAGAGCATTTTCAGAAGTACAAATGGGGACGCTGCTATTGTAGCTTTCTGATCAGCAAAATTGCCCAGTGATTTTTCCAGAAGGACATCAGCATTTTCTTTCTGTCATTTATTCCTAGTGAGATTACAGTGCAACGATATTTGATAACAACACATTATTCCTGGAAATATTTTATCACAACCACTGGGAATATGTGAAAATTCTTACTAAGTAGTTAATGAAAATAAGGAAATGATAGGAACTAGGTAACACTGAATTTCATATACAAGTGAGACGTAAACTTTCCTTTGGTAGTACCATGACTATTTGAACAATTAATTTAAATTTTTTCTATAGTTGAGTTATCAGGAATTAGGTAGTTTAGGCAAATAAAGGTTAATTTCTAAGTTACTCTCCAACTCATATCAGCTTATGATAATGCTAAAAATCATATCATGTCTATTAATAGGGATTTTAGCAAATAACAGTACAATACTGAGAGCACAATAAAGGCACAATCTGATGAGCAAAAATCAAGAACTTGTACATACAAAAGAAAATTATATGGAGAAACTTATTCAAAAATGAAGGTGATATAAATACGAGCATGATAAATCTAAATAAAACTAACTCACTTCATATATTTATGTTTATAATTTATAATATCTAATATGTATAATTATAGTAAGCAGTAATGTGTAAACATAGTTAAATGTCATAACAAAAGTAAAAATCTTAAATTCATATTAAACATCTAAAAATTGTACCAAAAAAATGATTTGGACTTGGTGCTGGGGATAGTAAGCATGCAAGAAATGATAAGTAGTACATTCTCAAATCAAATTGAGAACATTTTGGTGAAAAATACTATTTCCTTAAAAGATGCCCATATATTTACACATTCAGGTGTTTTAAATAATGATATTACCTACTCAAAATTTACTTTTAGTTCTCCTTTTTGAACATCAAATTGTCTTAGGATTCCTCTTCTCTTTGACTACTTCTTGGAACTTCTTAACTTGACTCTTTTCTCCCCAAAATCTGCTTATATCCACATAGTTTAACAATTAGGACAGGTCACATTGAAGATAATTTAGATAAATAAGATATACTAAGTATAGAGGGAAATATTTAATATTATTAAGTTTATAATTATAAACAATGTGTATTTGGGAGACGAGCAAGCAAACATTTTACAGAGCTATTTATTAGACAGGGCGTGTGGGGATCAGTCTATTCACGAGAGTGTGTTACATCTCTCTATGGATGCTAATCCAAAAGTAGCCAGACATTGCAAGTGGTGATATAAGGCATCAGGAAATCAAGAAATATAATACTTTAAAATTTAAAGATAAAGGCAGCTAAGGAAGAATAGTAGCACAAAGAAGAAAGGGTAATCAGGAAGAGATTTCTGGAAATCCTGAGACTGGTGAGGTTCAATCAAACACCTATCTTACTATTTTGAAGGAAGATTTAGAGTATCTATCTATTATCTATCTATCTATCTATCTATCTATCTACCTATCTATCTAAACAGTTATAGGTATATCTAAATCTCATACTTCTAAATCTCATACATATATATTTGTTTATGTATATAAACATATGTGTATATATATGTATGTACATATATATGTGTGTATATATATACTTATTTATTCTGTGAAAGAGAATCCCTATTCAACCTGAAGAGTTTGCTGCTGGCAACTTATTTCCTACCAAAAAAGAATACTTCACATGTTTCCAGTTTTAACACCTGCTCATGGGTACTTAAGCACATAATACTGTCTATTATACAAAATCATTTACTGTGCAAGTATGCTCAGTGGTATAACATTGTACAAGACAAGAGACATGCTGATGTCTTCTTTCAGAACACAAGAATAAAACTTACTGTGAGTAAATTAGGCAGTGGTAGTCAGAATTAGGAATTATTTTTCTATAAAATACTTCTAATGTAAAATAATGTCCAGGTAAAATCAGAAGATGTAAAAAATTTATGAAACTAAAATTAAATTCACATTTAATCGTTAAGCAGACTTTAATAGGATAAATTTTTTTGTGCTTCCTTGTTTTTAAAGCATCTCTTAACTATTTAATTGTATTATCATGATATGAAATCAAATGTCCCGAGCTGACATAACTAAAAGATGTCCTGACAAATCTCAAAAGAAATGAAATGTCTGATTCTCTATCTCATTTCCATAATAAAGAGATTTAAAGAAATACATGTTGTCTAATACTTAACTCTTTTATCATTATATTCCCAAAGCTTTTAAGAAGCTAGGTACAGCGAATGAACTGATAAATGCAACAACAGAAAAGAGAGATGAAGGCAACATTCTTCCTTATCTCTGATTTTAAGCTACCCTTGGACACAGTAATCCAGACAGAAAACTAAAGGATAGGCTAAATCCTGAGGGATACATTTCATTTTTTTTTCTCAGTGACAATTGATGTTTTTCTCTGGTAGCCGCTGTGAGAGAGAAAGCCACTATTCACCAGTATCCAATTCTCTTCCACTTCCAGCCTCACAGAATATGGAAATTCCCTCCCACTAGAGGGGAGGTGTGTGTCTCGCTTTGGACAATGAAATTAAGTAAAAGCAATTTATGAGACTGCCAGTGCTAAACTCTCCAGCCTTCTCTTTCCCAGCTGCCATGATGTGGGGATCCCATGTAGATGTAGAGATGCCATAACTTCAAAGCATCCTGGAATGCCAGACCACCACAGGGAGAGGGTCCTGCCTTAGAAAGTTCCCCAGACCTGCAGTGCACTTTACATGAAAAAGATTTAAACATTTTTCTGTAAGCTACTGCAATATGGGGGCTATTTGTTGTGGCAACAGAAGCTCTATTAACCTGGATTTAACAGCTATTTTAGCTTTAACAAAAATTGTGTTTCAAAAATCAGTTTCCCTCGCTCCCCAAAAATCAGTTCCCTTCTCCTATCCCCTCCCTTCTCTTGCTGTCTCTGTGGCTTATATTTTGGTCTCCTTTGACTTTTTCTGATGTCCTTTTCTTTTGTTCTTACATTCCCTCCCTTATCTTTCTTTTTTTTTTTTTTTTTTTTTTTGCAGTTTGCGGGCCTCTCACTGTTGTGGCCTCTCCCGTTGCAGAGCACAGGCTTCGGACGCGCAGGCTCAGCAGTCATGGCTCACGGGCCCCCAGCCGCTCTGCGGCATGTGGGATCTTCCCGGACCAGGGCACGAACCCGTGTCCCCTGCATCAGCAGGCGGACTCTCAACCACTGCGCCACCAGGGAAGCCCCCTTATCTTTCTTGATAGGACTATACAGTAATAGTGAAAGTGAGTCAGAAAAGATAAAATTGTAAAGAAAGAAAAGATAGAAAAGAAAAGAAAAAAAAAGAATAAAGTAAAGAAGACCAAGTGCAGACAGATGAGAATATAAAAGCAGAGGCTTGCTTTATTTCAAATCCACCCCTCTCAAGATTATCCTGAATGTCTGTCACATTTAAATAGGATAATACCATCCATTTTACATATGTATATTCCCAGAAAGCATTTTATCCTTATTACTTTACGGACATTGTTGCCTAGGGAAAAATAGTGAAATGAAAAGACTGTGAAATTTGGAGTCAGAACTTCTATAGTTGAGTCCCAGCTCCGCATCTTACTGACTTGCTGACTTTTGGAGTAACTTTCTAATCATTACCATGGGTTCAATTTCTTTATATTTTAAATGGAGAATGTGATAGTATGCTTCAGAGGTAATAGTGTTTGACAAATATAAATATTTATCAATTCTTATCATTAGGGAAACATTAACAGTTCAAGAAAATGAGATTTCAGCAGAATAAATCATAAGACCAGGTGTGGAAATTCCAGTTAGCTTTACGACTTCTTCCTCTATCTCATCACTGTGTCAGTCTCATGAAGAAGTTTCCTGAACCTCCTGGGTATCCTAAGTGATATATGCCGGTTACGTGGCACACAAAACCACTTCCGTCCTTAGTTTTGATAAACAACATGTAGACCCAGAAACAGGCATACACCTAATATAAATTGTAAAGGCTGAAAACAAGCAACCCCCTAGAGGGAGCAAAGTTTGGGCTATTGCTTGAGCTCAATCCTGGCAGTTTTTCAGATACCATAACCTAAAAGACACTGTGCTCTTACCTGCTTAGCATTTTAAGGCTTACTGATCAAGTCAGTTTTCTTGATTTCATGCTCTGATCTTCCACAAATGAGTGATTCAACTTTACGGAGTTTTTTCTACTTTTGACTTATTGCCTTCTCTAATCTCTAGACATACTCATTTACAATTTTAGCACTGAATAGTGATTTTAAGCATATGGCCCAACAATGTTGTCCTTACAGAATTAAAATGTCTTCACTAAAAACCTGTTTTTTCATTCTTTCTTGGTTATCAAGTAATTTTGAAAATTGCAAGAATATTAATTTTTAGGGCTTTTTAATGTGTATTTTTATAAACCGTCTCAATTCTTTTAAGGAACAAAGGAATGATCAAATAGACTGTAAAAACAAAGAAATCAATAAGCTAGTTATTTACTAGCATACTTTTATACCATAGGAGGCAGCATAAGGAACTGAAAAAGACGGGACTACTCTTGTGGTTTGCCTTGTTCAAAGGAGATGGCCAAATTCTTGGTTATTGTAATTGTACATTTTCAAAGTCTCTTTCTCAGAAAGAGATTTTTTGTTTTTCATTCTATGATGTATGGTTCCTAAATATGCTGGTTTTTAGAGAAGTCTCATAGAGAGAGACAGCTCAACTTACTTTAACAAACCCATTATGGAATTTTACTTTCCTGTGTCTCCTGACATTCTTTACAGAGTCCACATTTCTCATGCTGCAGATTAATTGTATTTTAAATGACTATCCTTAGTGGAAAAAGAAAATAGCTGCATATGCCCTTAGCATACTTACTTGGAGATCATTACATATTAAATTGTCTTTTAGACTTTGGTTCTTCAGGCCAAATCACACCACTTCTTTTTCTCAGAGGTCTGGTTTTCCAAGCTTAATCATCCTTTGTGGTAGTCCTCTGAACTGTCCAAGTTTTCCACATCCTTCTTTAGAAGAAGTTCCAGAACAGCTCATTGGGGCCTAATGGAAGTTTGGAGGGCTCAATGATAATTTTTTTCTAAGATAATTAAGTGCTGAATAAGCACTCTGGTAGAAAAATTAATACTATTTAAATTTGAAATGAATCGTTATGAGCAGTGTTGAGCTCTTGGCTACACCCAAATGTTGGTCCCCAAGTTATTTACTGAATGATGACTTAATACACAAATAAACTGGAAATTTGTCTAAAGAAGGATGAATATGACACTTTGGAATGACAAACTCATACTGACCTCATTATTAAGAAAGATGGGAACCAAAGGAAGGTCTAGAAAATAATTATCATTTTCTCCACAAGACTAACTTCAAACTATATAAATGTCAACTTATCCATAAAGACTTTCCTGATCCCATAGCCCCTCCTTCAATCATCATAGTTCAGTTTTTCTCTCGGCCATGGTACTTATCACACAGCTTTAGATTTTAGTTTATGAGTGCTTGTTTTCCTCCTTTTTTTCAATTTTCCTTCATAATGCCATTATAGTTAAATGATTAAACACAGGTACAAATGTGTTACAGTTTACCTCAAACACAACATAAACTTTCACATTTACGTATCTTTACATGTTTCCTCATTTCAGATTCTTCTTCAAAGCATAGCTGAAACATCACTTTTCTTTGGCTTTCCTTGGTGTCTCAATTTCCATCTCAAAGATTTAGTTTCTCCCTCAAATGTATTCATATAACAATTTATACATATTTTATCAATTATTTTGCTTCAATAATTATTTGTGTATCTCTCTTTTCAGCCCTGTGCAGTCTTCAAGGACAACTCCATATCTTCTTTTTAAATACATTATCTGGGACATAAATATTTAAGAAACTGAAGTTTTAAATACTTTATCTCTACTACTAAGCTGTAAGCCTCTTGAGGGGAGAATGTTGAATGTGATTCCCCATAGCATGCTGTAAATACCTATTCAATGGATGGATAAGTGATAAAGCAATGACTTGACAGACATTCATACATGAAACTAAATAAGCCAACACAACCGTACATGTCTTCAGGCTTACCGGTCCATGGCATGTGAGGATGCCATCTTCCATCTTCTCACACTGGGGGTCACACTCCACACAGATGGAGCCATTCTCAAACTCCCGAAATTCACTGTGAAAACATCAGCAGTATGAGGCAGTGTAAGCAAACAAGCTGTCAACTTAACAAATGAAGTAACATCTGCTAAAAGTCCTGTTGGCAAAGTAAATTCTAGAGTTTGTTTCTCTAAGTGCCAGGAGCATCAGAATCATTTCCCTGTACATTAATGAGTAAGTTCTCCATTAGGAGAAAAGATAAACTGCAGCCAGATGGCTCTCCTGGCCTTCCATTGGGTTCAACGACAGACTCATTCAGGAAACCTCTCTCTTGTGAGAGAGATTCCAGCAGTCTCAAAAAAAAAAAAAAAAGGAAAGAAAAAAAAGGATGACTCTTTTGATGACACAGCAGAACCATTTCTGCTATTTTAAGTAAGTCTGTGCCTGTTTGTCTCTATACAAAATTTTACTCTTGGCTGAAGGCTTATTTTTTAAACTTTGACAGAACTATTGTATTTTTCTTGTTGCTAAGTTACATGAATGTTCCCCATCCTTGTCCTTCAAATCCCAAGATTCTTCCATTTATTTTTAGTGAAACTTCAAAAAATACTTTGATTTCTTTTCTTCTTTTAAAATATCTTTCTTGGAGAATTAGAAAAAATATCTTTTTTATGGTAGATTTTATTTTCTGAGATTATTGATCTAATATAACATCTTTTTCAGTTTAAATTCTTTTTGAAGAATTCTATATGATATAAAATAAAAAATAGTTGAATGGTAACATTCTAAAACTTTCTAATTAAAATGTGGGAGGATGGTCATCACTTCCCCAAACCTTACATTTTGTGGCTATTTGAATATTAAATTTACCAGTATATAAGTTCTCCAATTAATATCTATCCTAAAAGTTTTCATTTCAATAATTGGGTATCAGTCATGTACAATATGTTTAAAACACACTATTTCCACTAATGTGTGAGAGGATGAGGTACTGGGTATAAACAATTTAGAATTTCAGTTATGAGTCATTAACAAAACGACTAAATATTTATAGCTACTTCATTATTTTGTGCCTTTGTATCATGAGTGACCATTCCAAACTAATAGCATTGCAAATATGGCAATTATGGATTAACTAGGTGATAAATTCAAATTTATTTTTCCCTGGAGTGAAATAATCACTCTTTTTTCATAGTGAACTATCTTATTTGGTTATTATAAAGCCTTAATAGATGATTGAAATCCAAAGGGTGGGCTATATTTTCTGTTGGTTAGATTAAGATTACATATATTTCAAGGTAAAATAATGGTTTGGTTTTCAAAATAAATAGCATAAATCTATGGTTTATTTATGTATGAATGTACATATTTAGTTACAAGGATTTTGCACTCAAAGTGAAGTGTTGGTTTGCTATGGATTAACTTTTTATGAATTTTCTTGAGTTTAACATCTTAGTTACATAAAAAAGTTTTTATTTTGCATGTTTCATCAACAAGTGATATAAAGTATTCAATAGAGGAAATCTTCAGAATATGAAAGTCAAAATGACCTGGTATTGGGGTGGGGGTTGGTAATGGGGTGGTAGCTAAATTGTAAAGAGCATAAAAAGCATTATGTGTAAGTGAAATTATATGATATTTACAGCACACCCTGCAATCGTCAGCAAAGCAGTTTCTGAAAACAGCTTCTTGGGTGACTAAAGAGTTAGGATACTAAATGAAGGTAATAATTTTTATGGTACTAAAACATGGGTCATGCTTTCCTTTCTCTTCTCCAAAACTCCCTTCCCCATACACAGAGTTGAGGAGTAAAATGAATATGTCATAAAAAATCATGGAGGCGGGCTTCCCTGGTGGCGCAGTGGTTGAGAGTCCGCCTGCTGATGCAGGGGACATGGGCTCATGCCGCGGTCCGGGAAGATCCCACATGCCGCGGAGCGGCTGGGCCCGTGAGCCATGGCCGCTGGGCCTGCGCGTCCAGAGCCTGTGCTCCGCAACGGGAGAGGCCGCGACAGTGAGAGGCCCGCGTACCGCAAAAAAAAAAAAAAAATCATGGAGGCAACCTAGCTGCCTTCTCTTTTATAGAGTAGACTTCTATCTGTGTGGTTTCTGGCTCTCTTCCTTTCTGCTCTCAGAACAGATCCTCCTTGCAATTTATTTATTGTCACTGTCTCCATCATTGCCTTTTTTCTTCCCTGTTCCCTAGTGATTCTGCTGTGACTTTGCCAGAGATCCCCTTTCACTTGAATCTGATACAAAAATTCACATTCTAGTGAGAATGAGCTTTGTGTTTTTGCTGCTGTATATTTCTCACAGTTTTGTTGTGTGTGTGCTACCTTAGCCAATCCTGTGATCTAGAGCAAATACTTTGGATTTGGTTCGTGTTCCCAGCACCAAGATTAATATTGCTGTCTTACATCCCTTAACTTCTCTAGACCTCATTCCCTAAATATCCTCTGAAAAAGGAAAAGAAGGGTGTTTTGATGAGAGCTTGTGAATATTAAACATAAAAATGCCTACAAAGATCTTAGACTGGCACTCTTTCTGATGTTTCTCTGTTGTTATTAAAGTTTCAGAAGCATTTAACCATGTTGCCAGATAAGAAAAAAAAATTAAAATTGCATTGCAATTAGTTTTCTTGTTCATTTTGAATACTTGGGCATTGTAGTTAGGAGTTGCAAAAATATAGTGACTTATATGATCTGGATTTGAGTGCTAACAGCCAGGATTAACTGATTTTTCTTTTCCCCCTTCAAAAAATCCTCTTTTTAGGATTTATTCTTTAATGATAGTCAAACTATTTTCATATATAAATAAGTTCCCTGATTTTGGTAAATGTCCTATTTGTATTTATTTTCAGCAGTGTATAAAGTGACTGTTCTACCTAACTATTTAATGAGCTCAGATTAATAGACACAAAAAGGAAATGATGATAATTGTTTTAACAGTAGGAATTCGAATAAAAATTTTCTCAGTTGATAATCACAATCATTATTATTATTATACTATAATATGATATAATAATAATCACATCATTATTATTCCCATTTTCCATGTAAGAAAACAGAGTTTAGGACAATTAGGTTATTTATCGGTGGATGGACATTTCAAGTAGGAAGTGATTAAGTTAGAATTTGAATTCATGTTTCCTCAAAGACTGTCTTACCTGCCAGGCAAAGTTGGAAGTAATTTGGCAATACCACAAGATTGGAGGTGGGGACATCTACCATTGGGTAGGCAAGAATTACATCAGATATTTATAAGATACTTTCATTTATTATCTTTTAAACTAAACCTTGTGCATGATTTCCTAGGACCCCATTACTGCTGCAAAACTACATTAAGAACTTTATATTTCTTTAATATGTTTGATTTAATGATTTGGAAAATGTTAAGCTTTCAAAAACAACAGGATAATCTGTGTTGTTTATTTAGGGGACCAGTATTTTTCCTTTGCTTAGCTTTCATTGTTTCACAAAAATGAGACAGAGGGTAGTGTATACATCCACATATACATCAATTTCATATTTCTGACAAGTTTAAAACTGAAATATTAAAGAAAAACAATGGCATCTGTAAAGAAACAGGATGAAAATCAGACATCCTGAGTTCTAGGGTTGGTTTGGTGCTTTTACAATGTTACGACTTTGGTCAACACTTAATTTTCCCACTTCTCACTGTTTATAAGATGCTTCTGTTTGATAAAATGATTTCTATAATCTATTCCTTCCTTAGAAACGCACATACATATTCAATAAACTTTTAATGTAACACAGTGGAATTAAGGTCTATCAGTTCCATTTTAGTGGCATCAATTGCCACACACACAGAGAATCATATCTGATCTGATGTATTTTATGTACAGGAAATATCTTTCTTTCATAATAATGTGAACAAGCATTAATACAGTTCAATTCAATGAGACAAGTAGCAAATAATTTGCTATTCATTATCAAATGTATGAGTTGATGTGTTTTACAAATTTTCAAGTTGAAATTTTCCTGATAAAACTATTAAACCCTTTTTTCAGTAATGCTTTTATTGAGAGATAATTCATATACCATGACATTCACCTATTGAAAGTGCACAATTTAATGCATATTTTAGTATATTCACAGAGTTGTGCAAATGGCATCACCATTTCAAACTATTAAATTCCGATTTAATATTGTTTTTATACTTAAACTTCTAATTTTAATTTCAATCTTTTTTCCCCCTAAATTCATGGAGGGAATTGGTTTGGTCATCTTTCAAAGAAGACACATATCTATATTATTAAGATCCATAGATTTTTATTCTTTAATGTAAAATACAAAAATAAAATGTTATCTGGGATCATGGAAACAGTTGTTAAAATGGGACAATTCATGAGGCAGAAGAAGAAACAACTTCAAAACTACCCTTTTACAAAAATGTTGAAAATCCTTTCAGTGAGAAATATAGGAAAATTTGACTCAGGGACAGTACTAAAAACTGCATTATCACACTAATGAAGGACAACTGTGATGCATGAAATGGTACGTTAGGATAAAGTGATTTTATGAGTATATGAAATGCCATGCAACAAGGTATATACTAAGTTTTATTGTTGTCAATTTGATTATTGTAGTACTATAGATAAAATTTTAAATACGTGATGTAAAATATAGCTTAGGTTATTTTTAGAAAGTGACAGAACACTTTCAAAAACCTTTTCAACTAGCAACTACAAAGGTAATTTCTCTATAGGGCTAAGCAGTTGTCTGAGACATAGAAATGTGTGTTGTTCCTAATACACAATCAAATAGACACGCAACCTAAATGGAAAAAAAAAATCAAAAGTTAACACAGTCATTCCAGGTGAAGATTAATAGGAACGCATGAGAAAAAAACCAAGATGGTTGAGACACTGAGGAGGAAATATTACTTATCACAATGTCCTTTATAAAGAAAATAGAAATACATTTTTCAATTTTGCATAAGCATAAATTACTATAATTTATTAAGAATTATCTATTTTGGTACACATTTTTAAATATGTACATAATAGTCAATATGCATTTTGACTTATCTTGTTCATTCAAATAAAATGATTTCCCCTTAAAAGAATTCTTTTATATGTTTTCTCCTTTATGCAACAAAAACTCTCCTTAAAAATCTTGGCCAGCATAAACATTCTGAAATTTTACCCTTTTATTATCATTTTAATATCTGAACAAATCAGTACCTCAAAGCTCATGAGATAGAGACATTATAAGATGCCTTACCCGTCATAGAGGTTACAAGACTCTATGCAGGTCCTTCCCCTGCTGAAGCGACGGCACGACAGGCACTGGTCTGGCCCAGGTCCCCAACACCCATCGTTTGAACAGAGATGGTTGCACACCATTCCTTCAGCAGCTGAAAAACACATCAAAATCAAGGGGAAATAAAACAGAAGCCTGCGTCCAAACTTACCATTTTAATATGAATCTTCCTAAGTAAAGCTATTTCTGAAGGAGTGAGAGAGATCTGTGGCAGATAACTTTGCTTGCCTACTTAGTCACCATGGCCCACTTTATCTTCCACTTCTTTCATATTGCAGAGCCCCAGTCACTGTGTGTGTAGCACCATTGCATTTTTCATAAAAGTGAACAAATATCAGTTGCCTATATCAAAACTCTAGGGAGAAGTAGTGACAGAAATTAACCTTCCAATTAAGGTAAGGAACAAAACACACCTTTCTAAAGCCAACCCTTTGCTCCACTAACACACCACACCTTTTGACGTCAATTCCATGTGAGAACTTCATGCAGAAACAGAACAAGTGATATTTGTCATAAAACAAAAGACATCAAAAGGGGAAAAGAAAGAAAAAAGAAGAATATATGAAATGTAAGAAGGGGGAAAAGAAATGGAAATAAAATACAAGTTTCTTACAGACCTCTGGTACACTGCAACTAAGATTGCCTTGATATTTGAGTCAAATTGGCACAAGTAAGAAAAAAGTTTTGAAATAATTTTAAACAAAGTGTGGTGGTTATTTATGAGGAGGTATAGAGATTACAGTAGTAACAAAGGTCTTTAGTCTTATCTCTATATTTTTTGTTGATGGGAGAAGTGCCAAAGAATATGAGGCCATGTTTTAAAACTGCCACTTAAGGTTTACCATTTCTGTTCCCTTTTATATCAAATAATGCTTATTCAGTGTATTATTATTTATACTGAAAAACATAATTTTACTGAACGGATAGCTATTGAATAAGAAGGGCCTATAAAGACTTCAAATGTTATTCTGGGTGTCTGAAAAGTGATTTGAGATGTCTGAAACCCAATTATATGTGGTTTTCATAAAATATTAATAAGTTCTCAGAAGATGAAAACATCAAAATCCTGTTTATCTTCCCATTAGTTACCAACTGTATTTATTAAGGGATGCAAATTGTTATGATAAGAGCATTTGTGAGATGGGATGGAATAGCAATAACTATGCACTTGTAATTTAAAGAGGGATCATATCTGTGAAAGTTACCTTCTCTAACAAATGCCTGAGAAAGTGAATTACCAGCATCCATGATGCTGATTAGTTTTTAAACAAGGAAACAAAATCTCCCAATTCATGTATTCTTTCTCCTATATTCTGGAGCCTTAAAGAGGACCCTATGTTAAACTGTATAAAATTCTTTCTCAAGGCAGACATAGACCTATCAAGATATCTTTTTAATTTATGAATACTTAATTGAATAATGTCTTCCAATATAGTTTAAGAGAGAAACCTTGTGTGTATGTGTGTGTGTGTGTATGCTTAATAGTTTTATTGAAGTATACATGACATATACTGCTCATACATAAAGTATACAATTTGATGTTTTGACAGATGCCTGAAATCATGAGCTATATGTATTCAATCCAGGCAATGAATGTATCCATTATCTCCAAATGATTCCTCATGACCTATGTAATCCCTTCCCCCCCCACCCCATTCCCCTCAGACAGCCATTGGCCGGCTTTCTGTTACTCAATACCCATTAGTTTACATTCCCTAGAATTTTATGTAAGTAGAAATATACAGTATATACTCTCTTTTTATGTAGTTTCTTTAACTCTGCATAATTATTTTGAGATTTATACATGTTGCTGTATCAATATTCATGCATTTTTCTTATTGAGAATATTCCATTGCATGGATATGCCACATTTTTTAAACCAATCACCTATTGCTAGACATTCAGACTGTTTCCCATTTGGGGCTATTAAAAATTAAGTTACAAAAAAAAAATTAAGTTACAGTGAACATCCATTTACAAGTCTTTGTATGGACATACACTTTCATTTCCTTTGGACAGAAATGGCTGGATAATATGATAAGTACAGGGTTAACTTTTTAAGAAACTGTCAAATTGTTTTTCAAAGTAGTTGTACCATTTTACATTCCCAACAGCCATAAACTCAACTCAGGAGCTGAAGTTTCCTCATATCTTTATCAATACTTGGTATGGTCAGCCTGTTTAATTTTAACCTTCCTAATATTATGTAGCGGTATCTCATTGTGGATTTGATTTGCATTTAAATGATTAAAGATGTTGAACATTTTTTAATGTGTTTATTTGCTATCCATATATCTTGTTTGGTGAAGTGCCACCAAATCTTCTGCCCATTTTATATTGGATTGATTGTTTTCTTACTATTAAGCATTGAGAGTTCTTTACAGATTCTGCAAGTACTGTTTCCTTGTCTTAGCCTTGCCTTTTTTTTCCTTTAACACTGTCTTTTGAAAAGTAGAAGTTTTAAATTTTGGTGAAGTCCAATTTATCAATTTTATCTTTTATAAATCGTGCTTTGGGCATCATATCTAAGAAATTTTTGCCTAACCCCAAGGTAACAAAAGTTTTGTCTGCTGTTATCTTTTAGAAGCATTATGAGTTTTGGTTCATATGGTCTATGGTCTATTTTAAGTTAGCTTGCATATTATACTGTATTAGTTAGGGTTTTCCAGAAAAACAGAATAAATAGGACCTTTTTATCTATATCTACATATTTTATATAATTTGTTATAAAGAATTGGCTCACAATTATAGAGGCTGGGAATTCCCTTGTCTGCCATCTACAAACTGAAGACCCAGGGAAGTCCATGGTACAGTTTAATCTGAGTCCAAAGGCCTAAGGACCAAAAGCACAGATGGTTTAAGTCCCAGTCCAAGGGCAGAAGTAGATTGATGTACCAGTTCAGGAGTCAGGCAGAGAGAGTGAATACGTTCTATTCTGGCCTTCAATGAATTAGATGATGCCTATCCACTTTGCTTCACACAGTCTACCAATTCCAATGCTAATCTCATCCAGAAATACCCTGCAGACATATTCACAAGTAATGTTTAACCAAATACCTGGGCTCTCCATGACCCAGTAAAGTTGACACATAAAATTCACCAACACAGGTACTAGGTAAGGATCTATTCCTTTTTTTCTTTTCTTTTTTTGCATGTAGATACCCAATTTTTCCAGGACCATTTGTTGAAAATACAATCCTTGGGCTTCCCTGGTGGCACAGCGGTTGAGAGTCCGCCTGCTGATGCAGGGGACACGGGTTCGTGCCCCGGTCCAGGAAGATCCCACATGAGGCGGAGCGGCTGGGCCCGTGAGCCATGGCCGCTAAGCCTGCGCGTCCAGAGCCTGTGCTCCACAACGGGAGAGGCCACAACAGTGAGAGGCCCGCGTACCGCAAAAAAAAAAAAAAAAAGAAAATACAATCCTTTTGCCAGTAAATTGCCTTTGCATATTTGTTTAAAATCAGTTGTCCACATACTTGTAGGTTTATTCATAGTTCTCCACTCTTGTGTTGATCTATTTATCTATCCAGGTATATTTTCTCACCTTTAATCTATATGTGTTTTTATAGTTGAAGTTTGTGTCTTGTAGGCAGCATATAGTTGGGTATTGCTTTTTTAATCTAATCTGACAATCTCTGCCTTTAATTAGGGTATTTAACCACTTACATTTATTATGACAATTTTGGTTAAAATCATTGACCTTACTGTTTGTCCAATCTGTCCTCTTCCCATTTTCCTCTTTTCATGACATATTTTGGAAAACCAAATTTTTTATGACAACTACACAGTCTTTATTATTCCATCCATATTTACTTTTAAAATTCAAAGTGGAATTACTTGCTGTTTCTTGTTCATAGACAAACGTATTCATATAAGATTTCACAAAAATGCCCCCAAATAGCCTCCAAGAACCCCACAAAACTTTATTGAAAATTATAGTTCCTTTTATTCTGTTTTAGCTTATTTACTTTATAGTTATCATCCTAAATAACAGATAAATGTAATTTTAAAAGATAATCTGAGGGAATAGTGACTATATAGAGCATTTTCCTGTAATAAGGATTGTTGTTCTCATATTATTAATTATTCTAGGTAACTCATAAAGTTTGTGGACTTTGCTTAATTATGATTCTCTCCATGTCTTAATCATTAAATTGAAATACCATATATCATAACTATTTTTCTCTTCTTTTGTGGAAACTCTTCAAAAGTTGAATGATTTGATGTTCTACTTGGGAAAGGCTGACAGTTTATCTGTTACACCGATTTTGAACTAATAGCAAGAGTTCTTTCCTCTGATTCATTCATAATGCAGAGAAAGAGGGTTCTCTCACTGTACAAAATCAGTCAGTAGAAATGAAATCTTAACATAGGTCTCATATCACTGATTCCTAGATGTATAAATGACTTCCCATTAATTTATAAAGATGTAAGGAGTAAGAAAGAGAGTTCAATCAAGCTGATTGAATATAATGTGTAAAATCAAATTTTCATATGTACATTTAGTACATTTATATACAATTTTTATATATACTTGTTTATGTGATAAACAATTATCAGAAGAAAGCTTGAAGAGGGAAAAAAAATCAAAAGTTATATTATTAAAAGCAACTTGTAAAGGCAAGTAGAGTATATTCAAAATCATACTGCACAGTATCATGAATCTCTGACTGCTTGTATTCATCACTTTCCTGTCCTTGTAGAAAATATAATCAATGCCTCAAATTCTTTGTATATCAACTTCTGTCTAAGACCCTCACATTTGTTTTCAGTTTCTTCCTTTAGGATGTTGACAAGCCATCAGTACACCCTTGTACTGCCCATTTCATGATAGTCCATCAACTTCTTGATCTATTTATTTCACCAACTCACATTGATTTTTTTCAGGTGTGAAAGCCTCTCACTCTTGTCCCTTCTCCCTTAATTTTCTGTTATCTGCTTTGACATTAGTTGAAAAAGAGAGTATTGGCTTCACACAAACTCCTACCTTCTTTTCTGCTGCCTACTACCTTCCTTAGTCTGTATTCAGATGCTCAATTTCAGAGCAGTTTTGCATCAGGGAAACAGTACCTATTGGAGGAAAGCAATAATACA